ATGTTGCGAGGCCCCTCTTTTCCCACAAGTGAAACTTCGATTTACCATTGAAAACATAAGGGGAACCCAGGCCAAACTGTAAAACAATCAAGGAACACCGAGCCCCTCCCCAACGAAAAGGGTTCCTTCTTCAGGGCCCCGACTGCGTCCGACGGCAGGTGGCACCCCGGAGTTGCGCCCACCTGGAATCGGGGCCCAGCGAGGGGCCCCCCCGGAGGCGAAGAGAATGGGACAGCACCTTCCGACGTCCGCCTTTCACGACGCGGGGACGTCGGGGGAGGGTGGCGGCGAGACGGCGGTGAAACGGCGGGCGGCGAGACCGCGGTGAAACTGCGGGCGGTGAGACGAGGGCGCCACTCGCCCCGGGCGTCCCCCAGACCGAGCAACCGCGCTTGGCCTCGCCCCCTCTTCAAGGAGGTCGGGCCTCTCGGGCCGACGGGTCTCGCAGGGGTGTCCGCGCGCTGCCCTTGCAGGGTGCACGCAGCAGGTGCACAGCTCGAGAAGTCTGACGTTCCATCTGCGTTCGGGAGCAATTGTTTGGCGTGTCGCGGCGGCGGCGGCTCCGGCGACACGCTATGCCCTGGGAGAGGACGGCGTGGCATTCCGCTCCGCGGGGCGGAAGGCCGGGAAAGGCGCGGTACGGTGATGCTTGGGGACTGGGACGTGGATCGCGTGTCGCGCCGAAGCATGGTGGGCCAGAACTGGTGGCGCGACACGCTAAACCAAAGTTCTTGACCAAAAGCAGATGCACACGATCAGACATATGGGACACGAAAACCTGAGGGCCGGTCGACAACAGTCTCTGAGCTTCCTAAGGCGCTCAAGTGCTTCTGTGATGGAGGGGAGGAACAAAAAGACCCACAGAAACGTCATGCCGATCATGGACATCATGGTCAGTGTCAATTCGTGGTTCATCTTAGCGAACCGGCCACGGCCCGCATGAACCACGACCAAGGTGGGCGTCGGCGAGACACCGCGACATGTTGACATAGTCAGTGTGTTCCTTCCCTCGGCGTTGGGCCCAAAGGCCATCGGGGGAGGTGAGACATCCTGGTGGGGCACCTGCAAGGCAGTCTGGCTTCTCACTGGGTGTGCCTACTGTAAGCCCTCGCCGAAGACTCAGAAGGACACACCGTACACCCGGGCCGAGCGGCGGCTCTCTGTAAGGCAGGTGGTGATGAAACAGCGGCGGAACACAGGCAGTGAAACGGTGGTGAAACGCGCGCGCGCCACTCTCAACGCGCGAGACCATTCCTCAGATCTCCCCCCTGCTCCCAGAGAGAAGCAGAGATCAGTAGGAGCTCGACCACAAGAAAACTTCCAAAAGAAACCCGACCCTGAGAACCCAGGAAGTCAATTGTTTTTTGATGTGGGAGCGTCACGCTTTCCATAGCTAAACAGTCGAAACCCAAGAAACCCAGGGCAGGCTGGAGGCAAGCAGGGGGTTTCTTGGCATGGGTCTCCACTGCAGCCCCCGCATGACAGCGACGAGCACGTGAGCCTGCTTCTGGCAAGTCCCGAGGTGCTGCACGTTCCGAGTGTGCTCTAGCCGTCCCGCGGCCCTCCCCCCTCATTTCCCATCCTGCCCCTGCCTGTGCCTCAATTCGCCTCTCACGTGTCCCATCGTAGCCTGGCCACATGCTGGACCCAGCTCGCTTGCTGTACACTTTGCTTCAAACGTTGGCCATCGCAGGTTGAGAAAAAGTGTGAAGACGGCGGGATTTCGGCAAGTTCCGGCCTCTGGAAGGGCCCTTGCGGGCCCTTAATCGCAGCAGCTGGGCCGGCGAGACCGCCCCTGGCTGGCGCCATCCCGGGGACGACCGCGACCCCCACGGCGGTGACGACCTGCACGCAGCGCCCGTCTTCAAATGCCGCGCGCAGGTCCCTCACCCCCTGGGGGGGTCGAGGTCGGCCATGGGAGGGGGGGGGGCGCCAAGGGCGACTCCTTCAGCCCAGCGGTTGCAACTGCCTCGTCGTCGTCCATGAATGCTGGTGCTCCTGCTGCTGCTGTTCATTCATCTCTCTTTTTCCCCCTCCTCCTCCTCCTCCCCATCCTCCTCCTCCTCGTCCTCCTCCTCCTCCTCCCCATCCTCCTCCTCCTCGTCCTCCTCCTCCTCCTCGACCCCGGCCTCATTTCCAGGCCCCATCAAGGCCCAAGGCCAAACGAGACCGCTCGAACGGGGTAAGCGAAACCACGCACCTCGCCAAAACTGCCCCGTGTGCCCCGTTCCGTGCGGCATGCCGAGGAGGCGGGCGAAGCGGACAAGGGAGGAGGAGGAGGAGGAGGAGGAGGAGAAGGAGGAGGAGGAGGAGGAGGGGGAGGAGGAGGAGGAGGAGGAGTGATAAAGAGGCAGGAGGGGGAGAGGTGAGGAAGCAGGTTGTTCTTGCTGTTGGTCCCCCCCTTCAACCTTCAATGGAACATCTTGCTTGCTGACCAGCGAGGCGCTCTGGGCAGCAAGCGCCGTGAGATGGAACCGTCGCTTTCAACGGCCAGGGCCGGCAACACCTGAGGCCGAGACGGCTCGGCCTTCCATCTCCCCTGCTCTGGGCAGGTACATGCAAAAACTCACGGGCTCAAGTGGGGAGGGGCCTCTGGCCAGACCTCCCCACCTGGTACACAGGGAGGACGACCTCCCTGGGCACACGTGGAACAGAAGGAAATGAACCCAGCCACGAGACAAGGACTCGGGAGGATGAGGCGGGCTGATGGATGGAATGGGGGGGATGGCGAGGGGGGAGGGGAGCCTAAGAGGCAGGACAAGCATCGGAAGACGGTCACGGACACGGGCATAGGCCTGCCTCATGCAACGCGCGGGTGCCGCAGGTATCGGGAGGAGGAGGGAGAGGAGGAGGAGGAGGAGGAGGAGGAGGAGGAAGCACGGGAACCACTAGCAGGAGGACGCCAGGTAGAATGAGAACCACGTGGAGAACCATGCTTGAAGAACGCGCTCCAGGTCACAAGAGACATTGGCTCCTCGCGTCCGACGAGCGGAGGATGAGGACGGGGAAGGAGGGAGAGGAGGAGGTGGAGAGATGTTGCTTATTATTCGCGCGTAACGGTCGTTACCCAGGGGGTGTGGTGGGGGTGGCCAGTTGGGGCCCCAGGCAACGCCAACGCATGGGATGGGGTGGGGAACGCCGGGGCTGGGGTGCGCTGCGATCCCCATAGCATTCGCGCGCGCACCGTTCTATGCCTGCGATCACCTGCGAAGAGCCTAAGAGCACCGGCAGGGCGCCTGCGAGCACCGGCAGGGTGCGGAGCACCTGCGAGCAGCCTAGCATGCCATCCGGCACGAGCATGTGGGTGGGGGCCCGGACAAAAGGGACGGAGGTTCGAGGAGGTTGGAGGAAGGAGGACGCTAACAACGTGCTAAACTCTGTTCTAACATTCTACCGACATCACGATCCATCGGCATCACTGTATACCGATCGATTCTAGATGGGTGTCTGCACCGCTGGTGCCACCCACTGTGTGCATTGTCCGGGCGAGCTATTTCTCCCCGCAGCAGCTGTGCGAGGTGCATACCAGTTTCCAGTTCCATTTCAGAGCGCCGCGCGAGCAGCGGGCAGAATCGGACCGTCGGAGACGAATCCAACCAAGACGGAAGATGATCGGCATCGAGTCGGGCCGATCGGATGGAGGATGGCCCCCGGAGGGCCAGGGCAAGGAAGAGGGGGGGCGAGGACTCCGGAGCTCCTCGTCGGCCCTCCCCGCCCGGGAGGCCTCTGAAAGGTACCGCTGAGGCCCGGGAGGCCCTGGAAGGGCCGGAACCGTCCAACGGCCTCGATGCTCGGTCCTGGGTGCTCGGTCCTCAGGGGGGCCCATGCCTGCGATCCTCGGTGCTCGATCCTCGAGATCTGGGCTTCGCAAGCGTCCTGGCGAAGGGCCCAGCCACATGCAGGTGCAAGCACCGCAAGACAATTGGAAAGGAGGGGAAGATGATGGGCCACAAAGCGTGAAGTGGGTCTGCCGAAACGGAGGCGGCTCCGCCATACGAAGAGCCTGCCACCGGGGCATTCGGTGGAGCTCCCTGTGGGGCCGCGCAATGTGTGAGGCGTGTGCCACAACTGGCGGGGCGACGCCTTGCGGGCCATGCCGTTGGGCCCGTTGGCGGAGCTCCGTATGGGACAACAAGGCCTGTGAGGCGTGTGCCGAAATAGGCGGGGCGACGCCATTCGGGTCCTGCCACTGGGGCTGGGTCTCCATATGGGGCCACGCAGCGTGTGAGGGGTGTGCCGAAACTGACGGGGCGACGCCATGCGGGCCATGTCACTTGACCCCTCGGGGGTGCACCGAAATTGGTGGGGCGACGCCATTCGGGCCATAGACCTTCCTCCTCCACTTCCAGGGTGGCCTCCAGAAACACTGGACCCAAGATCGCCCAAGATGGCCCGACAACGATCCAGATGGCTCAAAGATGCTTTGAAGATGCTCCATCTAAGCCCAATGCTGGCGCTCACACGCCCAATATGGTGTCAAGATCGCCCAAGATGGCCCCACGGCCCCGAAGAGGCCCCATGATGTCGAAGCAAGGCCCCCAAAGCACGCCGAGATTCCCCAGCTTTCGCCCATGCGATCGATATGTCAGATCTCAACGGCTAACCTCCGCCTCCGCACTAAATCGAGGTTGCTGCCCCAGGAGCTCTAGTAAGCGGGGCAAGTGGAAAGCAGGAGACTGGGGATGAAGACTGAGGAGGCAGAGGGAGGAGGAGGAGGAGGAGGAGGAGGAGGAGGAGGAGGAGGAGGAGGAGGATAGGGAGAGCTACCTGAGCCCCCAAGACGGCATAACAGAAACCCGCGGGGCGTCTTCCGCGTGTCTGGGAGCGCATGCAACGCGCGCTCCTGGTCTAGGCTCGGACGCCTTGCGCTCCCTCCGCATCAGGGGCTCCACTCCAGCCAGACCGCACATCTCGGAGAAGCGGCGCTGGCGTCACGGAGCATTGGCGTCACATGCGTCACTGAACCTCCGCCGCATGGTCAGCGGTGTCACCAGCCGGGCCTCGCTGGCGTCACTTATCATTCTCAGGGTCGCTGCCGGCACTGGCAGAGCCTCGCTGGCGTCACTTTGCATCCGTAAAGTTACTGGCGTGGCTGTTGGAGCGTCGCTGGCGTCACTGCGCATCCGGAAAATCGCTGGCAACACTGGCCGAGCCTCGCTGGCATCAGAATGCCTCCGGAAGGTCGGTGGCGTCACCCTCGGAGCCTCACTGGCGTCACTATGCATCGGGAACGTTGCTCGCATCTCCCTGAGAGCGTCACTGGCGCCACTGTGCATCCGAGCGAACATCGGCGCCATTCCTGGAACGTCACTGGTATCACTGCGCCTCCGCCGCAGGGTCAGCGGCGTCACTCGCCGGGCCTCGCTGGCCTCACTGATCATCCGCATCCGAGCCTCGCTGGCGTCGCTATGCATCCGCAAGGTCATTGGCGTGACTGTCGCAGTGTCATTGGCGTCACTCTGCATGCTGGAAGTCGCTGGCGGCACTAACCGAGCCTCGCTGGCATCACTGAACATCCGCAAAGTCACTGGCGTCACTGTCGGAACGTCACTGGCGTCACTGTGCATGGGCACCACTGGCCGAGCCTCGCAAACCCGACAAATTCCCGGCACCTCTTTTCCGAGAGCGTCACTGCTGTCACCATGCATCCGGAAGACTTTCGGCGCCACTTCTAGTGCGGGCAAGACGTGCTGTCCATATCATCTGCATTTTGGACTTGGCGCAATGGCTTTGGATAAGGCAGAGGCGCAACGGATTTGGATAAAAACCTAGTCTCTGCAGGCCGGTGCTTTACCCATCTGTGCCTCGGGTGTCTGGGAAAGGAGGCCCGAACTCCAAGATGCAGAGGACATGGATGTACGTCTTGCCCGCATCTGGAGCGTCACTGCCGTCGCTGAGCATCCGAAAGCTAGCGGAGTGCTCCATGCCGGCAGCGAGCTCGGAGGCCTCGAGCACGCGGAGCTGCAGCGGCTCCGCCTCCGCGGGCCGGCCCAACTCGCAGAGGGCCTCCGCCAGGCTGGCGACAGCCCTCAGAGTGTCGGGGTGCTCCGCGCCGAGCATGCGCTCGGAGGCCTCGAGCTCCAGGCGCATCAGCGGCTCCGCCTCCACCAGCCGGCCCAGCTCGCGAAGCGTCGCAGCCAGGTCGCCGATTCCGCGCAGGGTGTCGGGGTGCTCGGCGCCGAGCGTGCGCTCGCAGGCCTGGAGCACGCGGCGCTGCAGCGGCTCCGCCTCCGCGTGCCGGCCCAGCTCGCAGAGCGTCTCCGCCAGGTTGGCCAGGGCCCGCAGGGTGTCGGGGTGCTCCGCGCCGAGCGTGCGCTCGGAGCCTCCGAGCGCCCGCCGCATCAGGGGCTCCGCCTCCGCGGGCCGATCGAGCTCGTGAAGCGTTACCGCCAGGTTGCCGAATGCCCGCAGGGTGTCGGGGTGTTCCGACCCAAGCGTGCGCTCGCAGTAGCTGAGCCGCCGGCGCTTCAGCGGCTCCGCCTCCGCCTGCCTGCCGAGCCTGGAAAGCGTCGCCGCCAGATTCCCGAGCGCCACCAGGGTGCTCGAGTGCTCCGCGCCGAGCGCGCGCTCGGAAGCCTCGAGCTGCCGTCGCTGCAGGGGCTCAGCCTCCGGCCCCCAGCCCAGCTCAGAGAGCGCTATCTTCAGGTTCGCGAGCCGCCGCAGGGTGACGGGGTGCTCCGCGCCAAGCCTGCGCTCGGAGGCCTCGAGCTCCCACCGTATCAGCGGCTCCGCCTCCGCTAGCCGGCCCAGCTCGCGAAGCGTCACCGCCAGGTCGCCGATCCCGCGCAGGGTGTCAGGGTGCTCCGCGCCGAACGTGCGCTCAGAAGCCTGGACCACGCGGCGCTGCAGGGGCTCCGCCTCCGCGTGCCGGCCAAGCCGGCGGAGCGTCGCCGCGAGGCTGCCAAGGGCCCGCAGAGTGTCGGGGTGCTCTGCCCCGCGCGTGCGCTCGAAGGCCCGGGCCGCTCGCCGCATCAGGGGCTCCGCCTCGCAGTGCCTGCCAAGCTCGCAGAGCGTCTCCGCCAGACCCCCGAGCGCGGCCAGGGTGGCGGCGTGCCCGGCGCCGAGCGCGCGCTCGGAATCTTCGAGCGCCCAGCGCATGAGCGGCTCCGCCTCTGCCCGCCGGCCGAGCGCGGAGAGTGTCGCAGCCAGGCCCCTGAGCGCTCGCAGGGTGCTCGGGTGCTCCGAGCCGAGCACGCGCTCGGAGGCCTCGAGTTCCTGGCGCAGCAGAGGCTCCGCCTCCGCGGGCCGATCCAGCTCGCGGAGCGCCGCCGCAAGGTTGCCGAGCGCCACCAGGGTGATCGGGTGCTCCGGGCCGAGCGCGCGCTCGGAGACCTCGAGCTGCCTGCGCATCAGAGGCTCCGCCTCTGCCTGCCGGCCCAGCTTGGAAAGCGTCGCCGCCAGGTTGCTGAGCGCCCGCAGGGCGCTCGGGTGCTCGGCGCCGAGTGTGCGCTCGGCGGCCTCGAGCCGCCGACGCATCAGCGGCTCCGCCTCTGCTGACCTGCCCAGCTCGCGGAGTGCCGCCGCAAGGCTGCCGAGCGCAGCCAGAGTGCGCGGGTGCTCCGGGCCGAGCGCGCGCTCGGAGACCTCGAGCCGCCGGCGCTCGAGGAGCTCCGCTTCGGCAGGGCGGCCCAACTTGCACAGAGTCGTTGCCAAAACACCGAGCGCCGCCAGGGTGCTCGGGTGCTCCGCGCCGAGCACGCGCTCGGAGGCCGCGAACCGCCGACGCATCAGGGGCTCGGCCTCGTCCTGACGGCCCATCCCAGAGAGCGTCGTCGCCAGGTTGCCAAGCGCCACCAGGGTGCTCGGGTGCTCCGCGCCGAGCTCGCGCTCGGACGCCTCGAATCGCTGGTGCATCAAGGGTTCCGCCTCCGCATGCCGGCCCATCCTGCAGAGCGTCGCAGCCAGGTTGCCGAGGGCCGCTAGGGTGCTCGGGTGCTCCGAGCCGAGCGTGCGATCGGAGGCCTCGAGCCGCCGGCGCTCGAGGAGCTCCGCTTCGGCAGGGCGGCCCATCTCGGAGAGCACTCTCGCCAGGTTGCCGAGTGCCGCCAGGGTGCTCGGGTGCTCCCTGCCCAGCGCGCGCTCGGAGGCCTCGAGCCGTCGGCGCATCAGAGGCTCCGCCTCGTCCTGCCGGCCCGTCCTGCAGAGTGTCTTCGCCAGGCTGCCGAGCGCCACCAGGGTGCAGGGGTGCTCCGCGCCGAGCGTGCGCTCAGAGGCCTCGAGTCGCCGGCGCGCCAAGGCTTCCTCCTCGCCCTGCCGGCCCAGGAGGGAGAGCGTCGACGCCAAGTCGCCGAGGGCGTCGAGGGTGTAGCGGTGCTCTGCGCCGAGGGCACGCTCCGCCGTGCTGACCCGCGCCCTCTGGACGTCGAGAGCCCGCCTGGCGGATGCCGATGGGCTCTGGGCCGAGCCCAGCCGGGCAGCACGGAGCACCCGGACGTCTCTGTCGGGCCACTGCGGCTCCCTCCACCGATTTTGCCCCGGCCCGATGCCCTGGGCTTCCAGATCGGGCGCCACGCGCTGCCACAGGCCGTATATCAAGCTCACGGGCGCCAAGATCCGCCACCGTGCCCCCTGGCACGCTGAGATGTGGAAAAAGACCCAGTGCTGTCTGGTAAGGCTTCTGGAATATTCCGAGGACCGCTCTTCACACACTTGGTCACGCAGGCTCAGCGCGTGCTTGGGGCTCTCGAAAGCACTCCACGGCTTTTAACACGGCCCAGAAATGCCACCAAGGCAGCCAAGATGGGCCAACATCGCCTCAAGACGCACCCAAACGCACCCGATGAGCGCCAGTCCCAAATGGGCCTCGGAAAGGCCCCGAGAAAACCCCGAGACGCTCTCCAGGAGGCCCTGGAGCAATAATAACGATTTCCTGTAAATTGTTCATGGCGTTTCGTTCTCCACGCTCTGCGGTCGAAGAACGGTCCACTTGCGGTCTTCGCGGGCCCAGCGGAGCCAACTCAGAGCCCCGAGGGGGCCCCGAGTCGGCCCACGGCGGCCCCAAGAGTACCAAGCTGGCCCGACCGAAGACCATCACGGTCCCAAGAGACTCCCAGACAGCCCCCAGAAGCCCAAAGACGGTTCAGTATGGCCACAAGAAGGCCAAAGGGGTCCCCAAGACGGCCCAAGAGAACTCCCGAGACTTCCCCAAAGGAGGCCAAAACAATCCCAAGACGGCCCAGGCAGGCCCATCGAGAGCTCCTCAAGAAGCGGAGCCGAGAGGTGTCACATTCGTCGGCCTTCGAACTAGGCAGCGTCCGAAGAATCGCCTCAGGGAGTCCTGGCACGGTGGCGGCTTTGCCGCAGGCACCTGGGTAGGGACGCAATATTCTGCACTGTCCTTACAATGACGATTATCCAAGATGGCCGCGCAAACCTTAGCGTTGCGGGGATCGTCTGGGCCGGTGCCGCGGCCGCCGCCAGCATTCAACAAGTTCGCCTCGTGCTCAGGCTTCTGCTCGGGGTCGCCGCATCTGGGCCAGTAATTGTTCATGAGCACCGCCCGCTTGGAACCGAACGCCTCTGGGTCCTTGCTGGAGCAATAAATGCCTTGTCCGAAGTGCGCGAACCTCTCCTCGAGGCTGCCGAAGAGCTCGGCTTCTTTATGCACGACACAAGCGATGTTGGCCATGCCCACCCTGTTCGTGTAGTGATACAAAACCACAGCAGCGGAGCGAGGATCCTGGTCTGTGAGGTCGAGGGCAGACTGCCAGACTTTTATGCCTGTGCCCTCGTGAATCAGAACAGGCACCTCTCGGCGGCGAGCGAGGGGGGGGAAGTGAGAAGGAGAAGGCCTTCTCAGAAGGTTCGGAAGTCCCCCCAGCCTTCTGAGAAGTTCTCGAAGTTTTCCCCGAAGACAAGCGACTTCTCAGAAGGCGCGAGGGCTTCTGAGAAGTCCCGCTGCCTTCTCAGGAGGCCTTCTCCTTCTCACTTCCCCCCCCCGCTCGCCGCCGAACCTCCACTATGCAATCGTACTCGAGGGAATAGCCCTCCACGCGGGGGAGCTCCCCCGCCCTGTACGCCTCCAGGAAGTACGCTGCCAGGTCCTTCGCCCTCTCCGCGCGCGGCGCCCGCAGCCGCGGGGTGCTGCGCGGCTGGTCCGGCAAGGCCCGGAGCTGCGCACGGGCAGCCAAGCCGGAGGACGGCCCCCGCTGCCCCGCAGAGGCTCCCCCAGGGCCAGCCCGGGGCGGCCTCGGCACCCCCAGGCCCCGAGGCGCGGAGCGCTGGTCATGGAAGGAGCAAGAGCGCCACAGAGAGAAGCTGTTCGCGCTCCGCGCGGACCTCTTGGATCTGTGCTGGACCCCCCCCTCTCCATGGCGCGTTGAGGGGGGCCCAGCGCGGCTCCATTGAAATCCGCGCGGAGCCTCAAAAGTGTATAGTTCTGGTGTTTTCCTTCTTGCGACGCCATCGAAGTTCACGAAGAAGAAACCGTTTTCGGGGCGAAGAATCAAACATTCTGGGCGGCCCAAGATCGCCAGAGGCTCAGGTGCGAACATCACGCGAATAATAGCGGGGGGGAACATCGGCGGGATTCCCGTGAGGAGCATCTGGAGGGGCCAGGCGCCGGATAACGCGTGGAGGGCCCGCGCGCCCTGTCATACGAGGGCCGGGCGTTCGGGGGGTGTTTGGCCACGTGTGCGTCCAGCTCTCACCCAGGCCAGCTGCGTCGTGTCGGAGAATCGGTGAGACTCGGGTTGGTGGGAATTGGTTTGGCCTGACGGGGCCATCCTGCAAACGACGAGGCCCAATCTGAAACTGGACGCGACCTCCCGCTGCAGACCTCCGACGAAAACTGCACCGTCAAGATTCAGGCCGCGCTCGCTAAAAAGCGCTGGCAAGCCCGGGCTCCGGCGTACATGAGTCTTACGCTTCCCCGACTGGGGGAACCAAAAAGAACCGTTGCCGCTACTCCCTGGCCTCTCGTTCTGACCGGAATTGCGAGGCGAATCCAGCGGTGGCGAGGAGGAGGAGGAGAAGGAGGAGGAGGAGGAGGAAAAAGAGGAGGAGGAGGAGGACAAAGAGGAGGAAGAAGAGGAGGAGGAAGAGAAGGAGGAGGAGGAGCTGTCGGACGCCGCGCTCCAAGAGGGCGCCAAGCGCGCTCGAAAGAGAGGGCAGTCACACGTGACCGCCCGACGCCCGTCTACCACCACGCCTCCATCAGAGGATCGCGGGGCGTGACGCAAGCAGAAAAGGAAGGGAAACGAGAGGAAGCAGGCGAGGTGCGATGAGGGAAGATGCGCACCTCCCGCGCCACAGCCCTCTCTATCTCCAAAACTGTGGCTCTGCAAGAGCCTGACCCAGTGGGCCTCAGGTTTCGAACCCAAAAGGGGCCGAGGGGTCGGAAATCTGCGAGAATCCGCCCCCCCTTCATCCGCGGGATCGGCCCCAGCCAAACACTGGCGACGGTTTCTCTGGGCCCTCTCAAAAAGACAGTGGTCTAGGGTGCCAGAGGGGCAATCTACGAGCAGGTGCCCAGCCGTGCCAGTAGCAAAAACACAACAGTAAACGCACAACACGACGTGGGACGGGGCCACCCGGAGCCAATGGCCTCTGGCAGCCTCGGAGGGGACGGGCCCGCGGGACGGGGGGGGGCACAGGCTGGAGCCGTGCAGGCGCAAACGGCGGGCCTGGAATTCCCGCCTTTTGCTGCCCACCCTTCTACGTTTGTCGGGTTTGAAAGCAGGGCCCTCGCGATCAGGCATCGCGATGGCTGGAGTAGCGCGCCCGAGGAGCATCTGATCAGGAAACCTTGCATGCTAATCGGGGTCAAATGAAACCCTCGGCCGAACGCGACGACCACCGCCCTCGGAGTCCGACGACCCAAAGTCCCCCGAGCGCCGAAGACGAGTCGCACGACGAAGGTCCGAAACGTCGAGAAAGGAGGGAAGAGAAGCATGGAGGCTAACGGTGCCGCGCTCATCTTGAGCAGCCTCCATGCCAGAACAACCCGATACACTGCCATCTCCCAAACCGCCCCGAGCAGGCGCATCCGTGGGCGATGGCCCCTCACGAGCCGAGGGGCCAGCGCTCCCAGATGACCTGAAAGGGTCGCCGTTGGAGGTGGCACGCGGGGCCCCAGGAGCGGGGCCAACCCCCGCCAACACAGGAGGCCGCCCAGGCTCGATCGCAGGCGTACCCTCCGACGCCCTGAGGCGAGCAGGGCAGGAGCAAGGGAAAACTCGTGATCCCGGGCGGTGGTCTTGGCCCCGATATTACAAAACTTGCAACGCAAGATCGCCCTACGAGGAACGAGGCATATGGCGTGCCGAAGATGAGCAGGCATAGGGCTGCCCCCCGCCTGGGGACTGGCCGAGTTTGGCGCTTAGCCCTGGAATGGCGCCAGTCCGCCCCGCCCCCCCAAGAGAAAGGACGGCTTGCACCGACCACTGAAGACACATGAGGAGACTGCTGTGAGAAACTGCCGTGGCTTTACAGTTCCTCTTGCAGGCCGCGTGGAGATCGCGCCCGCGGGTGGCCGCGAGGTCGGCCCACCGGGCAAGCTCCCCAGGTCCCTTTTGGCGGCCATTGTGCAGCTCAACAAACACGCTAGCCCTAAAGCCCCCGAGGACATCGAATTTCCTCCAGATGGCCCCCCCAGAGATCAAGGTTGGTTTTACGAAGGGGCAGTGCGCCACTTGCGGCCCTTGTCGAACCCATCTAAGAGGCCTTTAACGTCAATGACAATGGTGACAGGTGGGGTACACAATTAAAACCTGCAAACGGCATGCATGTCAGCCCTTGGTGAAGATTTGGCAAGACCTGGTAAGGGTCCGAATGCAACAGTGCTAACACCATGAGTGGTCAATTGAGCGGATCTCCACCCTGCTCTCGCACTCGCAGTCCACGTCGATACCTTTCTCCTCGCGCCATCTGCGAACGCGCGCCCTGTGATGCCCGGGGGGTCACCATGCAGAATATGCTAAGCAGAGGAACGAATGCGTCGAAGCACAGGCAGGAAGCAGGACCTGCCTGCAAGCCCTCGGCCCCATAGCCCAGCTCCTCTCTCCTTCGCAGGAAGCACTCTGAGATCAACTCCGCGGAAGTGCTGGTCTCTCTTTTGCTCCAGGTGCGGGCACACGCAGAAAAGATGGTGGCTGTCGCAGAAGTCGCTACCGCGCAAAGGACAGCGTGCCTCGGCGCAGTATCCGAGCTGCCTGAAACGCGCAAGGGTCCACATTCCCCCAGCAACAACGGAGCGGAGAATGCCGGCCTCGTTCTGATCGGGCGTCCAACGCCTACGGTGCTGTCCCCTGGGGCCAGGTGAAGGCTCAGCCGGAAATTCATAATGATCATCATCTCCAGAGGGTTCCTCGTGGTCAGGCGGGGTCTTTCATGAGCTAGATCTCGTAAGATGGCCTCCAGCCAGTGCCCTTTGGGCTCTCTGGGCTCATGGACTCAGCTGGGCCTAGAGGCCTCATGGCCCGCTGTTCCCACAGACGCCGCATGTAGAGGGCATCCTTGGCGAGGTCGAGAGCGTCTCCAAGGTCAGCCCAGATGAGGCGCCCCGCTAAGGTGGCCCACTTGGGGTCTCGAAAGGCGAGGAGGCTGGCCCCCGCAGGGCCGAGCGCGCGAGCCCATGGCTTGGGGCTGTGATAGACGATCCGAATTCGGTGCTGCCACGCTTCCTGCAAACACCCAAAAGGGACAGTACCATCGCGGTAGAGCAGGGCCCACTAGTGAACGGGGGCTGCCCATGCCAGTACCTGCGGGTCGGAATACGTCGTGGACTGCAGGCAAGAGGCGAGCCGCGCCGACATGGCCCCTCCAGGAGTATGCCAGGACTGCCTGAGTACCTTCCCCATCTTAACAAGGACCTGCGGCGGGGCGCCGTGCGCTCCAATCCCGTAGGTCATGGCGGGCAAGGCGGCCTGCCTGACAAACCGCATGGCCAGGTGTCCTGAGCGTCGCACAACTCAGGCCCTAGGCGCACGTCTAGCCGTCGCAAGCACTCTCGACCTGAGTTCAGAGAACTTGATGGGCATCACCGGACTAATCAAGATTCTGGGGACCTCGACGGCGCTGCAGCACGCGCGCGACGTCGTAGCTTCCCGCAGACAACCCTCCCAAGACAAGGAATACTGGCAGCGACTTTCACCGTATTCCTGGCCGTCGGGAGCCCTGGGCCATCCAACGCGCGGGCCAGCAGTCTAAGAACCTGTTGCGGAATTATCGTGGGGCCTCTTGACGGGGCCTAGGATGGACATCGCGATATCATCAGCACGCAGGCCAACCGTGCGCCCGACCCCGGCAGCGCGCTTCAAGAAGGCATCGAAAAGGAGTGAGCATGAGGCGCTGGCGGGTGGGCGTCGCGAACGCGCGCCCAGGGGCCACTCCTCCACGTGCCCAAGTGCCCACCGACAAACACCCTTCCAATGCCAATCTTCTGACGCCCGAATACGTCCTCATAGCCAATGCCATCGTCTGCC